TTTTGTCCCTCATACGAAATAATTTAATAGGACAAAAATAACACATAAATGATTGAATTCCAGAGTCTAAGATAACAAATAACAGAAAGAGGGTATGAATAAATTGTTATGCAAGTTCTAGGGATAAAACTTTTTTTTTTCTTCTGGGAAAAATCAATGAACAGCTAGTAGATTGGGTATCATGACCTTAACTTTAAATAATGAGTAAAATTTATACCTGCTGAGATTAAGGAAAAGTAATTCAAATGGGAAAAGAATGATATACAATATAGGACATTTATTTGTTTATCTGTATCTCCAGTAAATGTTATTTAGTATAACCCCTGGTTAATAAATATCAAAAACTAAACTAGTGTTTTTAGTACGATTCCTTGTATATTTCATGGATTTTATTCACTATGATGACAGATTTTCTCACCCAGGAGGCCTTTTGATTTCCAGTTCTACTCTTTACTGCTAAGGGAATAGGATTTAAGATCTAAAGCATGTTGTTCAACAGAACTTCTGTGGCAGTGGAAATATTTGCATCGATGTGATATTGTATAAACAAGGCTCTATGACTATCGAGCACTTGAAATGTAGCTAGCATAACTGAAGAATGGAAATTTTAATTTTAATTAATTTAATTAAACAGCTACACGTGGCTCATGGCTATAGTATTGCACAGCATAGCTCTAGAGTCACCTTTTAGGAAAAATAAATTCCAGATGAATCCACAAAAGGATCTTCTTTAGGCAAAGTACAGTATGTCACAATATTTCCTGGGAGACCCTATTACATTGCTTCTTTGCTGAAGGCAGTAGTTTTACTCGGTATAGTCATTGCCTGTGTACTATTGTTAATTAGGATATGCACAAAGGAAACTAATAAATTATATCTGCAGGAATCTCTGAAGACTTCTCTTAGGAAATGACTTCTGAATTTTCTCTTAAAGGAAAGAAGTTCACCCTGGGGTTGACAGCTGAGGGTAGGTGGATGGGAGGAGGAAGAGAGTTCTGGCAGAGATGAGTAAAAACATGGAATGACCAGGGAATACTTGATAATTCAGTATAACTGGCAAACATGGTGTCTTTTCTGAAGAGTAGGAAGAGCAAAAGAGAAATTTAAAAAAATAGAATAATAAATACTTTTAAATATTTCCTAAGTATTAATTTTGACATGATTTTATATAATTTCTCATCCAAAATGGTTATTCTATCACATAAACGTAGAATTTTTTTTTATTTTCTTTTAACAAACATCATTTATGTTTTAATCATTAAATAAAACAACTAAAATTGCAACTTTGTTACCTAAATTTATTACTTGGACAAGATTGAAATTTAGGAAATTTATGGCCATGATGTCACCCATGGTTTATAATTTATAAGACTTTGGATTAGACATTAGCGCAGTTATTATTTCCTCTAATGTCTTACCTCACCCCAGTCTAATAACATTCAGGAAATCCAAAAGACAAAGAAAGAGTGGTTGAAAGCTAAAAATAGTTACTGAAAACTGATGCGATCATGTAATAAAATATGGCACAATAACTTATATGATATGTTCATAGTATCTGCTAAAGCAATTAGAATCCACGTAGCTAGATTTTTGTTCATATATTACTAAAAAAAGGAAAACCATCTCAGTCCAAAAATTACATTTAAACTATGCAATTTAATTATGTACATTGTTCTTAGGATTTTTTGGTCTTATTATTTGCACTCTTTAACACAGAAAATTATTGAGTAACAATCATGTTTCAAAAGGCCTTCCGAGTACAGCCAGACAGTTTTCTGTGTAATATGTTACATATGACAACATAGAATGCTAATGTGTAATTATAGTAACAGCGTTCTTTTACAATGGGTTAATATTTTCACATATCTAATAAGTCTCACTAGCAAGATAACAGAAGGAGTAATATTGGTGTCTTTTCATATCAACCACATTAAATTTATCAGATATGTTAAAAGTATAGTCTTATTAATTGATAAGTTTTACACGTATTATATTTAATAATGTTTTTAACAAAGCTTTTAAACTAGGCTCCGGTCTAGCTATAAGAAAGAATAATTTCCAATGCATTTCAGAGTCGAAGGCATTTACATATGTTTTAAACAAATATCCTAATTTCCACTGATAAGAAGAAAGACAGGCTTTTCCACTGTGGCAAAAGCTTTATTGATCACTATAGGAAAGAATGATTTTATTGTGCCAACTATAAACAAAACAATGAATAAAGAAAATTAATGGATTTTTTCAAGGGCATACTAAGTATTAATTTATATACTTCATTACAGTAAATCTTTACATTAACACTATGAGATTTTTTTATCCTCCTTTTACAGATGAGAATCTGAGTTCAGAAAGGTTTAAGGATTGCCTGAGGCCCAGAGCTAATAAAAGACAGAGCCAGGGATAACACCCAGCTCTGTCTGATTTCAACACCCTTGGACCCCATTACTATGTGTCATGGGTATGAATATCACACTACAAACATTTGTATATAAGAAATATCTTTTACTTCCCTATTCAGAAATCAAATTATATTTATTACAGGCCTCCATCTCACTAGGCTGGAAAGGAAATTCAAATCTTTATCCTTCAGTAGAATCATAAAAGAATGTGGAAAAATTACATGGTAGATACCCAGAAAGTTAGGTAAGAGTTACATTTAAAGGAAAAATGGAAGTAAAGAAAAGGAGGCCAGCTTTGAACACATTACCTGACGCCATGATGAAAGATAGATTTTTATCTCCTGAACCATGACTGACATGCTTAACCTCTCTTCCTGTGAAGTCTAATCCTTTACTTTGTAAATCAAATACTAAACACAAGGTTGAAAGTACTTCTCATCTACCTTGGCATTGTCTTATTAACTTGGACACATGACCCCAGACATCAGGTGTCCCCTACTTTGAGGGATAGCTCATCCATCTTTGTCAGTATTGTGAAACGACTTGTCAGGACAAGAAACTTAAAATAATATTTATAACAACATTTTCAACCTCACTACTACTTTTCCCTGCTGCTTCCTCTAACCTGTGATAATCATATACATAAACTTTAATATTTTTTTTTTATGATTTGTGGCAGTAGAGTATATATCTTTTATTAAACATATATCTTTTGGATTAGTCCTTAATTTTTATCAAAATATTTCTAAATATTTCTTAAGAGGTTCTTCTATGCTTTTTCTTAGCATATGCCAATAAGTTCCATGTTATAATTTTAATATTCAAAAGCTTTTGATAAATTTGTATTTTTAAACTAGTTTGTAGTTTAGTGACTATGTAACTGTCTTTAAGAAATATTTTTCTCAAATTATGTTAGGAGAGTTTAGAATAATGGTAATGTGTTAAATTTCCATATTCTTTTATTATAGTGGTAAGATGAGCTGTATTAATAGAATAAAATAAATTGTGTTTGTTTTTTTATTTTGCTATTTTAAAAAGGCTTTATTTCAATTTTAACAAATTTTACAATATATAAGTCAATAATTAGCATTGACTTTTTGGGTTCGGAAGCTCAAAGATATTAAGTGGTGACCAGAGAACTACAGTTAATCATTGGCCCAGCTGGGCCTGGCTCCTGAATCACCATCCTTCCCACTACAACTTAGCACAATTCTAAGAATCCCCATAAATTATCACAGTGTAAATTTTACAACTTAGCTAAAGAACCATCATGGCTATGGGATAACTAATTACCAAATTCAGAATCAATGTGAGAAATGAATAGAATCAGTAATTCTTACAGTAATAAAAATGGAGAACACTTTTGGTTTTTTTTCTACTCTTCTTCTTTAACTCAGATGAGTTTTAAGAATCATAATTTGAAACTCTGCCATTAGCTCCATCAGAAATATTAAACTTTAAATAAAGTGTTCCTTATTGGCCATAAAATGAACACCATTTGCTATTCTAAGAGGTTAGAAATACTTTTATGTGAATAGTAGAGAAGTTGCCAAAAAAGCTATTTTATTTCAGTCTATGGACAAGTTAATGTGCTCCTGGAAAAAGCATACATATTCTGACCTAATCAATTCCCTAGAGCATATGGTTCTAAAAAGAATGCTCAGAAATACTCCTACCCACCTCTCACCCCGACCCCCGCCCAACTTCAATTTACTTTATGGCCATATAGAAGTTTCAATAGCTAGGCCCATCCTGAGGGCAGGGTATCAGGCATGAGCTAATTGCCTCCTTATTAAGGTTTTTTGTTGCAGTGCTTTCTGATATACTTTCTACCTCGGAACTTACGTATATTTCTATATATAGTCAAATGTTCACTCCAATTTCTGGGTACCTGAGTCTCAAATGAGCAGCCTCCCTTATGATAAAAATGCATGTGTGCTTGTTTTTCTAAAGATACTACCTTCCAGGAACATCTTCCCTAACATGTAATTGTTTTATTTCTCACTTAGATAAAATGATAAGGAGAGTTTCAGGTACCTTCCATGTTCCAATGTGAGTAATTTAAAAATGCTCAAGAAGCATGTAAGGAGCAAAGTTATAGAAATGACAAGTGCAGAGAAATTGATTGCTATGGCTATATAGCATTTCCTTCTAGGAAGTACATATAGAAAAGTAAGATAGTGTATTTTGCTCTAGACATCTAATATAGTGGATTGATTTTGTTTTCTCTTTATGATGAAATAAAAAGAGTCGTTTTATTTAAATTTTAAATTCTTTCCTTCAAGAGCCATTAGGATAGCTCTTGGCATACCTGTATGATAAAGTGATCACTCTACTCTTACCATGACATCTCGTCTTTAGAGTTCATTTATTCACTATTGCTTGCAACATGCTACATGCTGCTAAAAATCACAAAGCTAAGTAAATATTTGGCTAGCGATAGCTAGGTTTTCATCCACTTAAGTTATTTTGCTATCTCTAAAATTTACACAAATAATAATACCTTTGACAGTAAACATACTCAACTTCTCTCTGATTAACTGGATTATTAAAATACTTCTTGTTATAAATAAATTCAGTCCTTCTTTTTCTTATCTACAGGATGACATTTTTAAGCTGGAAGATTCACATTTTGAAAATGGCCGTGGGAAGAGTCCATATGACCCTAAACTGCTAACAGCATCTCTTTTAATAGGTGCGTAGTCAACAATCAATTAAACTGAATTTTCTATAGATAATAACTTAATTTCATGTTCTTTTTTATATGCCAAGATTTTCCATTATTAATTATAAACTATTTTAGGAGGATGTCAGTCAACATATTTTCAAATATTTTAAAAATGAATAAAAACTAAAGGCTGCTTTGAGAATTACATTGATTCTTCTTTTTTTTTCCAGAATGGTTTAATAGTATCTTTGACATTGCCAGCTCAATCACTGTATATCCCCACAAGAACTATAAAATTTTTATTTTGAAAGAAAATGGTTTTAGTTTTCATTTCATGAAAGAAGTGTTTTTATGAGGAATTTTGACAGATCAGAAGGAAAGAGCGAGATTTAGTCTTGTTAACTGTAGTTTCAAGATTTGTCACCTCTTAACGTTTGGAAAACTTAATCAGTATAATCAGTTTAAATGGTGGTACAATTGGCAGAGACCCCATTGTGTACCTTGAGTTGATGAAGGCCTTCTGCATTCATCTTTTTTTAACTTTAGATTTTCTCTTTTTTTCACTCAGAAAAAGCATTTTATGTACACCTACTGTTTTCCCTAACCATCTATCTCTCTGGTTTTCTTCGTTCCTCTTTACTTCAGCATTGCAGATGGGTAGTGAATGCTTAGTTATATTTTGAAAGAATAAAAGTAAGAAGATAGAAGCAGGTAAAAGGAGAACATTTTAGTTCGTATTGAAAGATAATTTTTTTGTATTTTTTTTTTTTTTACCACTTCTGGACTGGAGTTAAATAAACACAAATAAAAAGTTATACATCATTAAGCAATTTTTCTTTTTTCTTTTTAACTTTTGAGTATACCAGTAATCTAAAACACAAAAGATATTGGGTTATTACCCTATTCCTGAATATATTTTTCTATGTAAACATGTAGAAATTATGTAACTTTTTGTTTCCTTTTCTATAGAAAGTAATTATTTGATAACAACAAAAATAATGGTGAAACTTTTCAAGTGTAAAATTTCTAATTGAATTTTGAATAATAAATCTAGATTTTTAAACAAATAAATTTAGGTTATTAATTGATGTTAGAAGTTCATAAAGTTTTGCTATTCTTTTCCTTTTTTAAAAATCACTTTTTTTTTTTTACTCAGCTAAATGAAACTTCAATCACGACTGTTGCATTAACTATGTAGATATATTTTTTCCGGTATTATCTAGGTTTACTTTATCACTATGTTTCACTGATTTCTTTCCTATTAAGAATAAAACCACTACAGCATGAATTATCTTCTCTATTGCTTTTCAAACAGACAATTTCAATCCATTTGATCCATTTATGGAGCATTTTAACAAAAGTTTAAGACCTGAAGGAATGCAGCAAATTGAGCACACTTATAATTTTCCTGTTCACAGATGGCCTAGTGATTACATGTGGATGACTTCCTTAAGTGCATACAGAAATTTGAAAGTTGTCTTAAACAAAGGAGAGGAATCCAATCTTGTTCAAACTTGCAGCCTATACTTATTTAAATTGCATGCTGAAAAAGGATAGATATTCTTCAAAAAGCAGTATGTAAAACTGTGCCGAAAGCAGCTTTAATTTGTGGTATGTTTCTCAGTAGGGATTTGCTTGATTATTTATTTTAATATTCCATTGAGAAAGGATGATGACAAGTTAGTATTACATAGTTCATTTGGTATGCAACCACACAAAGTCCACAAAGAACATGTAACTCCACAGTTTGGGTTTTATATTAGAAATTCTTTGAAAAAAGCTGTATAGATTTGTGAAAAGGAAATGAAAATGAGGGAAGTATGAGTCAAGGAGAGGCTGTATGGCTAAAAAAGAACAGTAGGCATTTTAGAGAAGCAGTTTTTAAATGGAAGTCTAGACCTTATCTATCTAATATTATAAAATAATTGAGTGACTTTCAGAGATATTTAGTGTTTATTGACAAGGAAGATCATTCAAGCCAATATAAATTAATTTCTGAATCAACTGAATAGCAAGATACAGAAAAATGAACAGGTCAAATCCCTCAGAATATCTGCAACACTGTTTTAATTCAAGAGCCATGACTTCACTTGTTAAGGTTATTTGTTTCTTTTATAACTATACTATAAATTCTTTTTCTCACAGTACATTTAACTCCCCTTGTTGGATTTTTCTTGGCATTTTCCTCTTGTGTTGCTTTAAAAAGAATGCTTACTAATTTAGTGGAGTTTCTTTATTTTTCAACATAAATATTTTCGATAGCACTTCCCTAACTTTTACATACAAGGATAACAACTGTCTCTGAAGTACACAGGTTGTATATTATATATTAGAAAATTATTATTGGGAGAACCTATCCACCCAAAAGATTTTAATATATTCTCCTCATTTCAGCACATAAGAGAAATTTTCAAGATGGTTCTGGGCTGCTTTCTTCCTCAATACTAAGAAATAAAATTTCATGTTAGACATAAGCCATCTATAAACTGGCTACATGGATCCTGACAGCAGATACTTTTTATACCCTCTATTAAGCAGTTTCAACCAGTAGTAAACTTTAAAACCAGATGACAGCTTCAAAAATTTAGTTTACAAATTTTATCAAGGTTTAGTATAACCTCTTTCCAAAATGCTATGGATTTTTAAGCTGATGACCATAGAAAATAAGAATTCTCTCCTGAGCAATGCATAGCAACTGAATTAAGTCCCCAAATATGTTTTAAGTTTTTCAAATCATGTTAGTAAAGTTAATTTTTCAAATCCTTTTTAATAAAAATCATTTTGTCAATATGAAATTGCTTCAGTATTTATTTTTTAAAATATTTCTTATTTCACCGACCTGTAATCATTTTTATGACTTTGTTTAAAAGGTCTTTATTAAAAATAGTAGTTGCTCTCCTGCTTAGAATAAATGCCATGTGTGAACACAAGATAAGAATAAAACTATATTTTCCATACTTACGTATCATCTCACATTTTCATGATATTAGCAGAATAGTCAACTTGAAAGCCGTTTTATTTCCCCATTGAAATCTCAGGGCATTTCAGTGCCAATAATTTAGAAATATTCTATCACTAAGAGATATTACTGAGATCTATTTCAGGTGTCTGGGTCTTTTGGCTAAGGTTTATTTTCCCAAGCTAGAATTCTGCCTTGCCTGGGGAAAGAACATTAATTTGACACTAGAATATACTCGCATTTTATATTTGAGCAAATGAGGTCCTCCCTAAATTAATTAACTATATTTGAAAAAATATTTGAACCTCTGTGAACTTCAATTTCTTTGGCCTTGCTAATTCTCCTAGTCTGTTCTGCGAATAAGATAAGATAGTGTTATAGCATATTATATTTGAGTTCTTACATATTTCTCAAATATATGTGGAAGTAGAAATGAACAAACAAATAAACAAACAACTGGTAACAGTGGTTGCCTTTGGGAATCTAGGAGACAGATTTGGTACCCCATAAATTTTATATTTTTTAATTTTGTACTATGTGCACATATTAACTACTCAAAAATATTAGTTTTTTAAAGGACAACATAAGTAATTAAGCCAACATGTCATATTTATTGTAATAGAGAAAGGTGCTCAATAAATGTAAAAATGTAAAATTATTCCCATACCCTTTCACTTTCAGGAAATGGATTTCATCAGTGTATGTGTCTGTGTGTCTGAGTGTCTCGGTGAGAGAGAGAGAGAGAGAGAGAGAGAGAGAAAGAGAGAAGTGAGGAGAGAGGGGGATTTTTTCTCCCTCTGTTTCTAATTACTGTGCTACTTTGTGAGTGGAATTTACTTAAGGTGTTAACAACATAATAGCTTGGTCTTTAGGTTTGTTTGATTTTTGCTCACATCCATGTCACACTTTACACCTGTGTTAGTAATGCTTCAATTTCATCAGGAAATGTTTTTTTACCTTCTGTTTCTCCTCACCACACCCTACTTAGGAATTGTAATCTAATACATTAACTGATCGAAGCCACATTTTTACTTCATTTTGAGTTGTGAACAGAAAGTCCAGAGTACATATGAACTTTTGTTTTTAACACATGCTTCTCAGATAACTCTGCATGGTGGAAATGCAATTCACTAAACTTTTTATCTCAGCAAAGAATGCTTTTCTTAGAGACAGTTTAAAAAGCTTACAGTTAAGAAAGAATGACAGTGTACTCAAATAGTAAGTTTCTTATTGGAAAATTTCTAAAAGGTTAGTTACATCTGTCAGCACTAATATATCTTAGTCTAATGTATTGTTTTTGAGATATCAAACTGCCTATATGTTTTCTTTTGTAGAGAAACTTAAAAACCTTGTTGGACAGAGTATCCACAACCACTTTTTGATAATAAAACAATTCCTTAAGTATATTATTCTATCACCAATTTAATAAAATTAAACAAGTGTCATATTTTCTTTTACTAGTAGTTCATTATATATGAAATACCCAAAAGTATATATCTTAACTATAATGCCATTTCAGTCATTATAAGATAACATTTCAAGAAGACACATTTATGATCAGAAAACTGATCAATTATCATTATGCCCAAGAATCGACATACAATTTGGTAACTTCATAATTGACCTAGAAACTACAAAAGAAGCTTAGCAAAGGCTTTTTTATTACAGATATTTGTTCTCCAAAAATAAGCCAACTGAGGTATAGTAAATTTCTTATACTCAGATATGATTAGATCAGTTCAGATAGCCACAGAATGTACTAAGGCTTTAAAACATGGTGAAAATGCACAAGTATATTAAATGAAATATACTCTAAGTTTATATTATATTTCTACTTAATAAGAATGCAAGAGTAGTTTATTCTACTACCTGTAATTTTTAGTCAAAACTACAATATGTCATTCATTTTCTGGAGCAGTCATCCTTGATAAGAATTCTATAGAAATCTCAGCAGAAAATCTGATCGAATGCCTGTTGTAAAGGAATAATTATTGATATTGAGCACTGACAGTATGAGAATGTACTACTGAATTATCTGGTGCCCTCCAGCTCACAGAAATCAGTCTGATTCTTGCCAAAAATAATATTGAAATGAGAGGTAATTTCCTATAACTGCAGGCAGCTGATGTCTAAACTGCAACCTCTCTTTGTTTTACAAGTCAATTGTTTAATTTAATTATGTTTTCAGTAATAAATTGAGTTAATAGCCCTTTTATTAAATAGCTCTTCTACTTTCTCTGAATGACCTATTGTCAAAAAAAAAAATACAAACCAGTCTTGCTTCCTTTGTCTTCATTTGTATTGATTTTTGCCTTCCTCAAATGTGAGTGGATAATAAAAAAATAAGTGTAAGTTATAAAAATCTTACCTAAATGAATAAGAGAAACAAATATCTATCTATATCTGAGTAACAGTTTCTTATGTTGATGTTACTTTTGTTATTTCAACCTCTCCTGAATAGAATTTACATGTAATAACAACCATAATTACAGTTTTACTCACACTAAGGCAAGCTAAATGAAAAAAAAAAAAAAAAAGAATGATTAATTCCTGACAGTCTTTACTCCACATTTCTAATTGCACCTTCTTTTGGGCATGATCTGTCTCACTGCATTCCGATATGATATTGTTCAGTTTTCACCTTTTGATGGTTCTATTTTCACCTTTCCTGGTTTTTGTCACCTAACATGTGGTTGAGAAGGCAATAAGGTTCAACTAATAATTTAATATTTTTGATTTTCAAGTAAAGAGTACACAAAGCATTTCATGACAGATATTACCCTATGAAAAATGTTTGAGATCGACATGAACGTTTTAGGTTGCATTCACAACATTTTTAACTAATGACTTCTTATTCACACAGATCAGGACAAACAAATTACCAAAGTTTTAAAAATTATCATATCTATATATCAATTATTTGTAAAAAGATAAAATACCAACCTTAATAAAACGGTACATCAGGGAGGACACAAACCACCTATGGAGGAATAAATAAGTTTTAGTGATTGGCTATAGATTAAAATTAAGGCAATGATAGGCACTTAAATATTTCAAAGTACTTCAAAACATATAGTTAGCTTATTAATAGCATTTTGGTGCTTTTAGAAAAGGGTTATTTCTTTACCTTGTGATCATATAAAATATTATTGCGACATATTATGGTGAGAACAAGTCAGATTTGAACTTGATGTTTAATTAAGTGAAGAGAACATACGATGCTTTCAAATCCCAAAGAATATACTATGACAATTTGGGTTCTATTTATTTAACTGGTGATTTGTACCTAATATTGTCTAACCATCATTTTTTTATTTGTCTTGATTCACAACAATTCAAAATAAATGATTAGTTTTTGAAATTCATTCTCTAAGATAAGGTATCTTTCTATTTCTATTTAAAGTCATAATTTGGAGCTGTTCAATGCTTCTCTCTGTGTAGCTATTCTCTGCTATGAGATTTTTCAAACCTTAGTTTGGTGCATTCAAACACCACAGGTTCTACCAAAGGAATTGATTTGGGTTGGACCACTGAAAATGTTTACTTTACATTGTGAAACCCTTATCTACAAGTGAGAATTGAGGGTGTGAACAAAGAATATCACATAAGCAATCAGATTAATAAGACTTACACCAAGACATTTATAACTGAATAGTCACAGAAAGTTTTCCATTTATCTAGTAAACATGAAAGTCCATTGGAAATGGAAAAGTGTTATATAAATATTTAGATTATAATTTATCTGTGTCCACTTTATTTTCTGAATATTTTTTTTCAAATCAATGAATTCAAAAACATTAACATATTCAAATGATCAACAAGATAATATTGTTTTACTGACATGACAGATTATTTGGAGAAAATTTTATAATTTTTTTTGTCAATTTATTTTTCTGATAATTCTCTGTAAGTAGGCAGGCAACAAAGTATTTTCTGGATGAAATAGTATGAGGCACTTTCTGTTTAAAGGAAAGAAAATATAATGTTTACAAACTTCAGTTTATTGAAAGGTGGTATGGTTTAGTAGAAGAGGCTTGGGATTAAACAGGCCTGAGTTTGAACTTTTACTTTGACTTGTCTAGTAATTAGCTGAGCAACCCTGAGTTTCTTGAACTATAAAATAGGGATATTTACATCATGCAGATGTTGACAGAAATAAATGAGATAATCTGAAAATGTCAAGACAACACTGATGATTATGACCTATGTTTCTGAAAATTTTCTCCTCTCCAAACACACTTCTGTTATATCTGAGGCTATGTGGTAGAATTGCTTTTAAACTGTGTGATAGCCTATACCAAGTTAGAACATTTCTCCCGCTTGATATATTAAAATATAAAACAAGAAAAAAAATTGGCAAGGAAAATATTAGTCTTTTCTAAATTATAGCAAGATATAAGATCTCACTAAAAAGGAATAGCTTAAAATTTTAATTTCTGTAAAATGAGAACTATAAGCAAGATTTTACAGTGATTCCTTATCCTAATAAACAAGGTTATTAGAATCATAGTACCTTTACAGATATAAAAACAAACTACGTGATTTAGTTTGCATTTGAACTTTAAAAGTTTGTCTCTAGTTATAATGGAAAAGAATAAAACTTCATGTTTTAATTTTACTAAATTATATTTTACTTAATTTTTCAAAATTAGTACTAAGTAAGTAGTCATATATTTAATCGGTGAATGTTCATTTTCAAAAAACAATCTTTGAAAAGACAGGAATAAAAAGTAAGTAGCTTTGCAGAGAGCATTTCTGTTTTCTTTTTAGCATGGTCTTAACATGAAACTTATATTTTATTTTTTTTGTTTTTCTTGCCTTAATTGAGTTAAAGTATGTGTATGTGGTTTTATTTTGTCACGACACAGATGGAGAATTATACTCTGGAACAGCAGCTGATTTTATGGGGCGAGACTTTGCTATCTTCCGAACTCTTGGGCACCACCACCCAATTAGGACAGAGCAGCATGATTCCAGGTGGCTCAATGGTAGGTGGTACGTGTAAGAACATAGTCACATAACACATGTAACTGCGGTAAGTAACGGAGAACTTTCCTTGTGCAGTACAAACAATATGATGAGATTTAGTATGCAGTTAAACTCCTGGTGGTGACTTCATGACTGTGGGTGTGAGAAAGTTGAGCAAAACAGAAAAGAAAGATTAAGAATTCTGGAAAATATTTGCTTTGTGCCAAAATAGAAGTTTCTCAGTAGTTAACTCTGGAAAGAAATAGATTTGGTCTGGAGCTATACGGAAGGGAGGCAATGGAAGAAGATAAGATGACTTACCGATCTTGTCTTACAGGAACACCACAGCAACTCTCATGATGTAGTATGTGTTTTAACTCCACACCATTCATATTGCCCTGAGAGCATCGTATAAGTTATTTTGCTAATGACATCACATTTAAAGTATTTTCAGAACTTCAAAGGACTTTTGTGCCATTTAATTTGATTCTCCTCTAATCTTTCTAAAATTCTGTCTCCCATTTTATAAGTGTGGAAATTAAAGCTAATATCTAAAATTACAACTAACCTGGTAACAGAAGATTTGGAACAAGAACTTAGTTTCCCTAACTTCAGTCACTGGCTTTACTACTTGATCAGTAGCTACTTTTATCTTTTTCTCTTTCTCTATTTAGTATACACATAATTTTAGCATAGGAGAAAATATACAAAATTCGTATACCTAAAATAAATAAATACAATTTTCATTCATATTTTGAATTAAATAATCCTTATATAGTCTTCTATCTAGAGATGATTTTTGTTTTGATTATTACTGACACATTCATCAAAGGTTTTTATAATGGTTTCCACAATATTATCATGGTTAATTCTTATTATTAAAAAATTATCTCCATTTACATCTGACTTCGATCTTATGATATATACCTGTCTAGTCTCTAAACTCTCAATCTATGAACTTTTGTCTGGTTTCACAGTCCTCATTAATAAAGATGAAACTCATGGTTTATAGTCCATTTATGTTTTCAGTAAGATGCTTGATTATTTCATTGTTCGAACTTCTACCACACTTGTTTTTTCTGCTCTTTCTTCTGGGGAACCCCAAAATTCATTTCATCACTTTTGTACTTCATTGATTTATTAGAGAAAAATCACAATTTTGTCTCTAAAGCTCACTGAAACTTTAGGAGACTATGAGTTATCTGTGACAATCTTTATTCTGATATATCCCATACTTTAAAGTGACTTTTTAAAACATAAAACATACCTCGATTTATCTCAATCAGCATCTCTTCTCTCCTGCAACATCATTTTTGATCATCTATTATTTTTCATATATTAGCGAAAAAGTTGTGCCTCTTCCCTTCGACATTTCATCCCTCTGCCTTTATTCCTAATTGCATGGATGATCTTTCATAAATTTTCCCTATTTACACTTACCTTGCTCTTCTTCAACAGTTTTTTATCTCTTCTTCAACACTGGTATCTTCCACTGCCCTGAAAACTTGCTCATCTATCCTATTCAAACACTTCCTTTAATCATGAAAAGTCATGAAGACCTTGTATGTTTAAGTTAATAGCCTGGTTAGAAACTTGTTTTTTCAACATTCTCACTATCTTTATCTACTTTCAACATGACTTTGATGCCATGAAATTGTTTCTCCAAAGGTCACTAATGACTTTCCATAGCTTTTTATCAATCTCTATATAGAGAATCTCTCTTCCAGTATTTGTCACTCTTCACTAGCCTTTTCCTTTTAAGAGTCACTTCTCTTAGCTCCCTTTATGTCTTGCTCTCTCAAGTTTCTGATAAGTTCGACATTGCTCATCCATTGTTTTTCTCTTTAATGCAGATTGTGCCTAAGATCATTCATGATTGAGTGCAAACACTGTGGTAATCAAAGGAAATTGGACATACAGTCAAATGCCCATCCTTGGGGATAGAGGAGGTGCAGTGGTAGCTGGGTAATCATCTAAGAAATTAGAGGCCTCACCAAGGAAGATAAAAAATGCTGAGACCATGATAAGGCTATCTGTGTAAAACTATAAAAGAATTAAACTCCAAAATCCCAGAAGGTGATTTTGGAATATCTAATGTTTCTCTCTGGTCTATCCTCAAACTGAAATATTTATGTAGGAAGGAAAATGTTTGTTTTTATTCAACACGAAGGAGACTTTGGTCTACTAACTCTAAATGGCATACAAGCTTTCACTGTCCATGAGAAAGAAAATCTCATTAGAAGATGGAATAACATAGAAGAGAGTATAGTATCCATTTCATTTTTATGGCCTTGGAGGAAAAAAGTCATCAAGTTAGAGCTGCTTTTGTATTATACACTCACTTGTTGACAGCTTAGTCTGAAGAATTTACACTGTGGGAAAACAGTCATTGTCCACAGTTCTGTACTTCATCTCTTCAAACGTGTAGTTCATTTGAGAATTCAGTTATCAGTCTCTCAGCACTAAATGTGAGAACTGATTTTACCAAATTAGCACAACGGTTACTTTTGACAGGGTGCAGAAACCAGAACTGCTGCAAAATGGAGACTGTGGAAACCTTTGAGATAGAACCAAGGGACTGTGTGAATCACAAGCCTCACAAAATTAAATACCATTCCATAATAAAATTAGAAACACAATGTTTCTAATTACACATCCATGCATAAAATAAGTGAGTTTTGAGGCATGAACATAGACTACATAGTCATTTTTTGCAGCCAGAAGTAATAAATGACCTTGCAACGTACTTTATGAAAGGTTTTCAGGGCTATTAAAATTAATTTGGGCACAGGACTTACTTTACTTTTCTCAAGTTAATTCAAATCATTTATTTTAGAATAGATTGGCCTATTTTAATGACTTTCAATTTTTGTTCCTTCTAAACAAAATATTTTAAAAAACAGTTGTTTAGGACTGGATCTTCAAATATGATTTTTTTTTTTAATGGAATGTCTCTATTTTCAGACTTACTTGCTAAGATTATTTTTGTAATAGTATCGATAAAGTTTAAAATTTTTGTAATAGTATCGATAAATTCAGTTTCATTTTAACAGGAAATATTTGGAATGAATAACACTTTTAGATTAAGAAACAAAAAACTATTTTTAAAAAGTTTTTTAAAAATTATCATTGACACTACCCATAATTTAAGATTGAGAGATGTTATAACAACTTTTGATTTCAGAAAATGTACTGGTATGTGTTTGCCATGATGTACCCAAATGCACTACATTTTTCCATCTGCTCCATAAATTCTCTCAATATCATATTGTTTTGAACTTCAATTCCAGTTTCAGCTCACTAACAATGTGAAAGTTAGGTAAAAATGTTCTTTATGTATTCATAACAAAGAAACAAATAAATTTATGGTGTTGTTATAGTAATGATTTCTTAACATGTATTATGTAAATACTACTACCTAGTTCTTGTACGCATTAGCCATTCCTTAGAACAGATGGATGGCTAACTCACATTTACTTTTCTATTTGATGGACACTATTTTCAGTATTGTTCATGTCTCGGACTAACACTAGGATGCTATATGATATGGAGGGAAGACCATAGTCTTTAGAATGAGACAAAGTTTCACCTTACTTTGGAGCTTACTTTTAATGGGATCATACTACTACCACCTCTCATAGTTGTGAAAAAATGACCACATAATGTATAAAAATACTAAGTAAGTGACTGGCATGTGGTAAGCACTTAATAAATGTGAACTTTTCTGTATCTTTTATTCCACTTTCGTTGGGTGGAGCATGCTCAGGGAGCTTTGTCAGGTTCATTCTGTGAGTAATTATATTTGAGTCAGGGTGAAAGGGCAGTAACAGTAGAGTTTAATATGTGAAACCACATGGATCCTTGAAAGAGCCAGGGCCAGTGAACACAAACAGACCTAATTACAGTGCCCAGAGTGTGAGGCCTTCCCACTCATTTCAGGAAGACCTGTTTTCTTTTAGCGGATTTCCTAAAAGGATCGTGCCTGTGGATAGACCAACCCACTTGCTTTTTTCTGTAATTGAAATGGTATGCAAGTCATCATTCCACTTCCTCTCACTTGTAACACTTATACCAGGATGGCCTGCCCTTATTGGAATGAACATAGCTTCCTCTGTGGTCATGTACCAGGATATTTCATGTTCTCTAAAGATTCAAATTTCTCCACAAGATATATTTTTATGTAAATAGAACCAATAAATGTGACTGCAAATAAATTATGAGAGCACAAATTAATATTACATGGTACCAGATACCTAATCTCAAATCATTTGTACAATTCTTTTGAGGTGCTGTTAATTTTATTATCTATAAACACATAAACTGTTTTAGCGTATTCAATTAGGATTTATTCTAAGTGAAACAAATGATCTAGGTTTGCATACTGTCAGACTTCCCAGTGATGCCATTCTGAAATATTTCTCTGGCTTAAGTAAGTTAATAATATATTTTGCTGACGTTGGAGGAAAAAGCCCTCTGGAAGTCTTATTTTATGGCATGTGAGAAAATGAGTATTATAGGAGTAGGGTGAACATTCAGTTAAAACAACAACATCAACCACAAATGTGCTCTTGGTTTTCATAGCCTATGAAAGACAACACAAGGATGCAATCTTTTTTAACTTTTGAATTACATATATGAATTACACTTTTTTAACAATTCTGAGGTATCAGTATAAAGTCACAAATAAAAATGCTAATATTTTTGGTTATTTTTACAACATTGTGCCGAAACATGGTATGTAATAGTTTAAGTATAATTGTAACTATACCTAAACACAACCTCGTAGTAATCTGTTTTTTCTTATGAATCTATTAGTCAGAAAAATTTTCTTCCAGATAAAGAATGCACACTCCCAAGTATAATCTGTTTAAAAATATCTGCCGTGAAATTATTTTACTCTTTAAATGATGATAAATTTAACAAATTCACTAAATGTGCTTTTTTTTATTTTTAAAAGAGCAAAAAGTTACTAAAATATACTTTTACTTGATCTCCTTTTTAGAGGACCTACTTTCTGTGT